TTCTGAGAATATTCAAGTCTTACGTTCTCGTAATCAGAAACCTAAAATATTTGAAGGTCCACGTAAAAAAGTGAACCTCATGTTTGAAGTATCCATACTGGAAGATGAAACTGTTGCTGTAGAATTGTGCAGTGAATCTAAATCATCCTGCACCAGTAAAGCACCAACTGTTAGACCACAAAAGTCCTAACAAAGAAACAGTCGAACCACAAGCAAATTCTACTCAAATAATATCATATGACTTTGAAGAATTCTCTCGACACGAATCTAGGCTGTTACAGCAGCATCAGGATCTTTTGAATGCGTATAAAGTTGATGATTACATGTATATGGATGATAATGAGTTATCAACTAGCAGTTTACCAAACTATAGTACTATGTCTCTTTCTGATTCAAGCATCTGTGATTTGAAAGAACCTCAAAGTCAAGATGATATGTGTGTAAACACTACAAAATTCCATTCTGATAAGCACTCCTCTTTGTTGTCATTTAAAGATATTCCAACAAAATTAGAAACAAATATGCAAATGCCTCTCTGCTCACCTACTAATACCTTAATTAACAAACATGAAATTGGAGTTGCAGCAAGAGCAAGATTGGATTCTATATTAAATGCTACTGATATTTCACAAGATGCTATGTTTGATCAGGTATTGAAAAAATCTTTACATACGCCGAATCATGTTACAAATGTGATTCGAGTTGAGTCTCCCGTGAACTCCCCAATTCCTGCAGTGCAAACTTCAAATTCAAAGCCAATGGCAAGGACGTCGAGCAGTGATCCTAGACTACAGCAAGCGCTCCAATTAAGAAGAAGGTTGTTCAAAAAAAAAAAAAGTTGCTTGATTAAGGAAAGCTTATATATTCATTTGTAACATTTATATGATTTAACTCATCAAAAATTGCATATTGAATGAAAAACTGCCATTGACTATCATGAACTTGACTAGAAATCAAAACACATATGATTGGCAAGAACTGATATATCGTATATTGTCAATAGATTTAATTTATATAGAGCATGTTTTTTATTTATTATTTTTATTTTTGATTTCTTATTAATATTAATATCCATTATCGTTTTATATATCAAAGCAAAGCACCCCATGAACACATTTATCTATATCTTAAACAATTGCATGCACTAAATGAATGCAATGTTTTAAAATAGATGTTTCTGGGTGCTACAGTAGAAACAGTATATATTCACTGCTGTCTTTGCATGGGCTTTGTTGTGGGATCATAGACATCTAACGAATTTATCATTTATCATTATTTGTATAGAATTGACAAAGTATGCATGATATATTCTTTGTTATTAATTGTTACTATGAAATACTAAATTCAATACATATATAGTTGGTTGTTGTTTTCACAACTGTCACATGTCATATATTTTGCATTGTAAATCAGTGGATTAATTAAAAATAACATTAAGCAAATATTTTACATCTTGTAATCAGCAATTTTATATATCATTTATAAGTGAAGGATCATTTTTGAAGAAATATACTATTTTCAGCTCTCATTGACTGAATATAGGGCTCGTAAGAAAACAGATACTAATGGTAATGGAAATGATGTATATTCATCTTCTGAGAAAACTTTTGGACAAATGAATGTCCTTATATCTGATGTTGATGAAGAACCCAATGATCAAGAAAACTGTAAGTACTATATTTTAATTTTTAATCTGCATAAAATTTTATGAAAATAACCTATAACTTGCAATAAATTAACCTATAATTTACAATAAATCAACCTATAACAAACAATGATTCTATTTAAAAATGATGCATTTTATGTAATCACACTTATATTGTGAAAAAAAATTAAGTGAGGTGAGCAAACATCTTGTAAAATTGTTACATATTTTTAATTTCAAAAATGGAATTTGCTCATTTTTACTTTGATGTCAAATAAATCAGTTTTATTTTTAAGTTTAAAGATCGGGTGTTTTACAAATAAACATTTTTTTTGTTGTAATGCTCGATCTTTAATCCTAAACTAATATATATATATATATATATATATATATATATATATAGAATAAAACATTTTTTTTTATTTTCTGCTACATTAAATTTTATAATTAATATTTGTACATTGCATGCTTTTTATGAGCTCTTCAATAGAAACAAATATGAAATTTTTATTATATAATCAATGAGTATTTGTTTGCAGTCATGTTTACACCTGAACCTACGCTGGTAGAAAGGGAACTTGAAAAACACCCAGGCTTTCTTTCTAGAGATTTTTTCAATGTGCCTTCATCAATTACTAATGACTTGGCAAATGAAAGCGAGACTGAAGGATCAGGCTCGGACCCATGATAAGTATTTAAGCTGCCACAGAAAATTTTTAGCACATATATTGTATATAGAATTATTAACTTACAATTGTATATATTCGTTAAATTTGGTAAATGACATTTTATTATAAATTATTATATAGTCGCTTATGAAATTTGCATGAATGCAAAGACTTCATTTTAATCTATTTTGATATTTATTGCTATTTGTAAGCAAGAAATACTTACAATTTACTATTCGTGGATATATCTATATCTGTGTGACTTCATTTTTGTTATTGTATATTCTGCATTATTACATATGCACATCTGTTGATCTAAATGTATATCTTGAGAATGTACGCATGCATATGTATACAAAGATACATAACGCTACAGTGATGAATGTACTCATTACTTTGATATTTTCACAGAAACAATAACTTACTATCTATTTTGTATGCATTAATAGTTGTATAAATACTTGGATGATATTGAATTCCTTTTTTATGAATATATTAGTGGTATACTTTATACATTGACGATATTGAAGTTCTGTATAAAGTAAAGCACTCTATATTCATGTGTAATGTTAATAGTTTTGGTGTTTTTATGCATATATAATTGTAAAGGAATTTCATGTTATAGAATATTTTTAAAAATTTTATATGACGGACATATATAAATACACACACAAATATATATACCTAAATAAATATTATATATATATATATATATATATATATATATATATATATATACATACTCATATTTATATTTATGTAGGTTAATATATATATATATATATATATATATATATATATAGATATATGATACTCATATTTATAGATATATATTAATATATATATATATATTATATATATATATATATAACGGAGCAGTTAGTTATTGATAAATTTGAATATATTTGTGATTATTTGAATAATTTATTGATGGCACTAAAAGATTAGACAATATATTATTTGCTGTATTAACATTTTGTAATCTGATGGCCAAATCTATGATTCATCACAAAATGAGTAAAAATGACAAAGTGAGCAAATGATTCAAAATGGTTTAGTAGGATTAATCATTTTGAATTTAATATCTAAGTACCTATTTGTTTATGAAAGTTAAATTTACAAG